ATCACCTTGAATGATGTTGCAACAACATTTTGGAATGCACTTACTTCAGCATGACATACATTAATTCTGGGTGAGTATTCCATGTGTTTACAAAACTTGAAGTTTGGTAATTGAGCTCACCACTTACCACATTCAATAAGTTTTCTGCAGCATGAGACCTTATCCACCAAGACACTCAGACACATGACTTTGATTCAACTCAAATTTGTGGCAAGGAATAGGTATTTAGAATAGTGTTCCATCAAAATCTGTCTCTTCTGTCTGTATCTGTCTGCATATTTCACCTGTTGGCATCCGAGATTTTTGAAGCACAGTCAACCTAAGGTTTTTCCATCCCTTGACATCAGGCCAACATGAGACAACTCGGTCATGGAGGCCAAAAGGAGTGGGGATACACCAGTCTTTCTCTATTTTAATCACAGCTTAAGCAAATTCAGGTCATCCCCATGTCAATATTTGGTTTTATGCATGTTTCTTTTTTGAGTAGTTCAGAAGAGGAAAGCTATTTTGCATTAACCCTTTAACTGCTACGCCCGGCACATCCCGATATTGGATATCCCGAGGTATTAGCCTATATGCACCTGTTTTTTGCCTCTGGGGATTTCCCTGCATATACAGAAACCCATTTGAAGGTAAGAAGTTTATTTGTAAACACTTTCTTGGGATATTATATATATTTATTGTAATTCTTTTGTAATTTACCCCAAAATTTAAGCATAAGGAAACAGAATGATGCAAAAATGCCCAGCAGTTAAAGGGTTAACTTATAATGAAAGTGGACATTAAAATTCACATCACATTCGTACAAATTGACTTAATTAGGGCTTGCAAAGGAAACATGAGTGCAATTTGCTCACTGGAAGGAATGGCTACCAAGGCAGAGCAGTATTGACGTTCTCTCGTGCTGCCACTTGAAAATGTTGTCCTGCATTTCTGAATGGTTTTTATAACAGCAGGCATATTACTAACAAAGACGCATATCTGACCTGTGTCAAAGGATTCAAGAATTTTCATGAAAAGTGAAACGGTGACCAAGCCCAAATGGCTCAAATTTTTAGCTCATCCCATTATTTCTCAATTTAGTGAGCATCTTATGAGTGATTCTCATGTAACTCTGATCAGCTTCCCAGTCATTTTCCATTTCAGACATCTGAAATGGGAACAATTACTATTAAACAAAAGTTTATGCTCCCTTGAGACAATGTTAACTGAAAACACCACCTGAAATATCCAATTAATATTCTATTTGTCTTTTATAATCTGTGTTGGTAGTCAAACTAGGGCTGCTCATTTAAGTTCTCATTAGTTTTACTTGCTATTTTCTCTTCTGGGCTTTCCACTTGATGCTGATCTCTGCCGTGAATAATCAGTGAAGTCTCAGGGGCTTCTGACTTGTAGGCTAGGACTCAAATTATTAGGCCTATATATGGTAGTTATCAGCCTACCTGAACTGAGCATCAAAGGTTGCTTGTAGACAGGGCTGAACTTCAGCATGAACTATTTTCTAAAATAAAAATAAAAATAAAAATTGGTAAACTCTTCAAATGTTCGGGAAAATGAGGGGCTGCTGCTGCTCATCTTCCCATTATAAGCATAGCTGCTTCTGTATGCATGCAAGCAGGCAGCATCAATTTTGAATAAAGGTTTTGAAATTGCTGTCACAAGGAGTGAATTGAACATGAATGAAAATCCAGGATTGAGGAGTAAATTTTGTTCTCTTTCTATAGGTTAACAACAATTACTAGTAGTGTTGTACAAAGTGCTAAATGTATATTTTTGGGGGTGACTTTTTCTAATCACAAAACATATAAATAAATCAATATAGGCATTCTCGAACAACAATTCTCAAGGATGTTTTTTTTAATTATAATTTAATCACCATTATGTAAAAAATGGTTAGCAAAACTCAAAAGTGAACATTTACAAAAAACACTTTCTATATTTCAATAAACAGGAGGCAAGACAAGGGCAAAAATTCCATAAGACAGTTGAGGACTAATGCTACCTTCCAATTGATTATTTATTATTCTACAAGAGTCCAAAATATAAACAAATTTGGGGAATTGTGGGTTAGTTACATTGGAAAGACATGGGTCAAGTTACTGAAAGATGGACTATTTTCCAGTAAATTCTATAAAAGTCTCCCATTCCTTAGTAGGGGAGCAAGACGTCTCAAGTGTTGGAATCCACCCCCACACACGACTATGTTTAGGTATTCTCTTTGGTCTCTGATCGAAGCCCCCACTCTTGCAGCCCAAGAGTACAAGTTGTTGGGAGTCTCTGAATGAGACTCACCATAAAAGTCGCAAAAAGGCAAGAATGCCTGATGAGGCAGGTGCAATGCAAGTGCCAACTGCTGTATCTAACTCAAGTTGAATCATGCAGGAACACAGGCCTTTCCAGATGGCTCTTGCCTACAAGCCTCAAACAAACCCACAAATAGACGAAACTATAAGAAGTTTACCTTCCCGTTCGTTCAGTCAAATGGCGAAGGAAAGAAACCTTCTGAATCCATAAATTTCCCGAATTTGTCCAGGCTAGACAGAAATGAAGGCCAAGGCCTAACGTTTGTCTCCCAACGAAAGAAAAATCCTAGGCGACAGCGTGTATTTACCCATGAAAAGCCATCGAATTGAGCTCAACAGTTTTTCAAATCGAGTCTGAAACGCTTCATCAAGCCCTAATCGCCCCACCGCGAACCCGCTCGACCCCCAACGCTAGGCCCAACATCCGCTGGGCCTAACGCCCCGCCACCCGCATTTTGCATTGCGAACTCCCCGACCATCCCCCGCACACCACGTGCCTCGAAACGGCAGAATGCAATGGCGGCAGGAATACAGGGTTGAAAGCAATCCACTTTTCCGGTTCGGAATCCTCTCCCCCCTCTCCCGACCCCGACGCCATCCAACGCTCCAAACAAATCGTAATGCTCAATAACCCCAAAGGAGCCTGCCGCTAATCACCGCCCCGGTCCCCAAACACCACGCCGACATTCGAGGAAGTCGCCGATATCCCTCAGCGTCCCCGACGGAGTTGAAGCCGAATCCATCCGCTAGATGGTGCAACGACCGCCGGATGTCGCAGTGCGTCAGTCCTCATCGTCGCCTCGCCTGCGTCGGTCGCGAAGCCGCGCTTTTCCCAATCCCGAAGGTAAGTTACTTCCGAAAGGAAACCAATTGAAGTCGCCGTTGACCTGAGTGAGGAAATTTGTTGCATCTAATTCGGGACTTGGCGATGGAACGATCCAATCCGAGTCCAGGCGAAAATGTGAGAATTTGCAGCTTGAAATTACATATTTCGAAGAACTGTTGCCTCAAAGATCAAAGAATAGTTACAGAATTATTCATGTAACTATTTGCTAGGAATTTATTTGAAATTTTGTTCGCCGTTGAGAGGCAAGTCGGTTGCAGCAGTTCAAATCACGATGCTCGTGGAAACCAACGACAGAATGCTAGAAATATATCAAAAATAGCAATTTTTATGATTGTGGAAACGAGGACTCCGCTCGTTACTATGGTGTGTAACCAAGGTTACTAAATACGCGATGAGGCAATGGGAGTTTCATTGACGTGCGCGGGAAACGAGTTCAGGAAAGTGCATCCTAGTGACGTCACACTGGGGCCCTTGACTCCCACGACAGGGGACTCGGGTTCGACAACCAAGCAAGGCAGGGCATTTATTTCCTAGTGCAAGCCCAGTCATTGCAAAAGGTACTTCTGTCTCGAGAACTGGAATATTGTATCGTCATTTTTACTAGACTTTACAGTCTATTCCTCGAGTGATCTCGTGGAACTTCATTCATAGGAGCAGGGGAGGGGACGGGGAACGGGGAGGGGACGGGGGACGGGGACAACCGGAAAACAATTTTTTTTGACATCATTTGGAGGAAGTTTTGATTGTAACGGGAACTTCTTATGTTTTGAAAGGTGATGAGCAACGGTAAAGTACCACTCTATCTCAAGTATGATTTACAGCTTTCTCCGACGAAAATGGCGATGCCAGAACTTTCGAAGAAAGAGTTCATCTCGCCATTCCACGAACTTCCTTCGGTAAACGAGATTATATAAGGGAAATAATTGATAGAGCCCCGGACGCAGCGTTGCAGTGACAGTCGGAAATTCCCACTGAAAACCTTGAATGTGGCTCCGTGGAAGTAAATTCTCCTAGTCTTGACGTCGAAGGTAATGAATTAAATTTTTTGAGTCGGAAATCGTCAGAGCGAGGGGGAAAATGGTAATGTATGCCGCCCGGTTGTTCCACGAAGGCCTGCTGCAGCAGCCACTGCCATCTAGTGGCGGCACGCGGCACCAACCAACCGTAAGGCTCAAGTGCCAATAATATTTATTTCATTTCTGTATGCTAAAATTTTTCTTATCACATGCGCATCCCTTCATGAAGTTTCACTTGCAACACGAATAGGAAAACGCAACAGACCAGAAGGAAAGCACGACTTGAATAATAGCATTGATTATAAATAAAGAAAACGAAAAAATCAATGCAATAAAAGACAGAGACAAAATTAAAAAACAACGATCAAGCGCAACCTGAAAATCATACAATTGGAGAAAATGTCAAAACTCTGAAAGTTCCCAGGCAATTCGGGGATTAAAGCCTTCGACGACATAGCAAAAATTAGTTTGCTTGCGGCTTGGTTGGAAATTCACCAGAAAATCGATGGGAGTTCAGATGTGGGAGACCTCGGCCTCATAAAGCTCATGACCCTCACGAACAGTTAATCGACGGGAATTGATGTGTATTCGGGATTGAAGACATTCCATTTTCTTCTCTTCTGCGGCTCTCGCAGGAATGTCGGTTTACTATATTTCTTAATTTTGGTTCTGGAGAGTTGTTAAGCCTTAAAATCGCTCTGACTCCATAGCGATCTGTTTCGAGACCAACAAATTTCCCTTGCTAAGGACTGAATGCTTTCATGGAAACGCTTTGCCCCTAATAGGGACAGAGTGTTTCAAGCCACGAGGGTTTCGCATCCATGCAACTGGGGAGAGCATTCGTAAATACGAAAAAGTAAGTGTGATGGTGTTTGCAATGTCCGTGGAATGGTGGATAGAGCGGGATCCAGACCAAAAAAGGGTCAGGGAGTCGGGCACCATTTGGCATCTTGAGTGTTGCTCTCGATGAAGTCCTCCACGTAATCTATTAGAAATGAAATTCGTGTAAATGCAATCAAGTTCCTCGGCTATACACTCCATAGGAGAATACTGGAAGCGCCACGGACTTGCCGTCCTCGTGTACACCGCGCCGTAGTGAGCCGGACACTGCACCGTCTTTGGGAAGGAAGCGACGCCGACGTTCTGGTAGTAGCCAGCGGGTGTCAGGTACATCATCGGTCCTCCCGCGTCGCCCTGCGAGTGCATCCACATCACTATGAATGATGAAGCCCTAATTTTCTCCAGCCCTCCTTAGCCTTCCCGTCCACTTACGAAGCAGATGTTTGATTGCGTCGATCGCGCGCAGATGGAGTTATCGTCCATCGCATTGTACCAGACTTTGCAGTCAGATAAGCCGATCACCTGTACGGTTGCTTCGTTCAACTTCATAGCGTTAGGTGCATCTAAAATATGATTCGAATTTGGATTAACTCCAGTGATATCCCTGAATTTTTCTTGATGTCAACTGACTTACAGAAATCGGACCCTCCCCATCCCGCGATGGTGACTGAGGTTCCAGGAGATGGACTGGCATCGGAGGAAATGCAAATGGGACGAACATTCGGATAAGCATCGAAATCCACCGGCGTCTTGAGCTTCAATAGTGCGATGTTGTTTTTGTAGGTCATGGCGTCGAAGTGAGGGTGAAAGATGGACTCAGCCGGGATCTCGATAGATCTGGCTTCAGCCGAAGTCGATCGGTCGACATCTCCTAAGGTCACGAACAGGTTCCTTGAGGCGCTGATGTAGGAGAGAGATAGAGATATTGACAAGTCAATTAATTTCAGTATGGTGAATAGGGCAACATGATGAGCCAGGTGAGTCCGATTCAACGTTTTTTCCCCGCTAGTTACGTTAAATGGGAACAATTGAGACCGTTGCCATCCGCGGACTCACCCATCTGAGAGACGGGCTCTGTATACGGGGTCTTGCCTGACCGGCCCGTCTGCCAGACAAATTTAAATGCATGTACGAGGTGGGTTCAAAAAGTTCCCGGACTGGTTCTGCCGCGCGCGCATCACAAGACGCATGCGCGCGAAAGTAGGATTGTAGTGTAACTCTGTGTCCAGAGACGTTTATTGCTCATGGATATTGTATTTTGTTCTGCAGTTAACTCTTATGTGAACTCAGTTTGTGCGTTTCGTCGCATTTTAATAATGGCTACTATTGAAGAGCAACGTGTGTGCATTCAATTTTGCGTTAAGCTGGGAAAAACTGATTCTGAAACTCATGCTATGCTGAACACAGCATTCGGCAATGACGCCTTTAGTCGGACAACCA